CCCAGGACGGTGAGGGAGAACACAAGACAGCTGCTAAGTCTGCCTAAGTCTGCTATCTTTTTTAACGAAGTCACAGTCTCTGCCCTCACCTCGGTGTGGGATACCCGATGGGTATCGTCGTTCATGACGGTTTCTCTAAGAAGTAGGGAGTTTTGCAGATTTGGGCAACTTATTTGACCCAGTTGTTAAACACTCGGCCGCCTCGGTGGGACTTGAACCTACGCCAGCAAGAGGAGGGCTTTAGTACAGCCAGCACTCTAGCCAACTGAGCGATCAATGTCCCGCCGTGAGCCGTCAGTTTAATCACATTTGGATCAAGTTACCCGCTCAGCTTACTGTAACGTATATAGAATCTAACAATTCTGATACAGTAAGCTGACCCGTACCTGCTACTACTCTCTGATTATGTCCCTGATGACGAATCCGCGACGGATCTCGAAACGTCAGGCGAATAAAAGTATTGTCCCAGCGATCGAGTCGTCTTCTTCTCAGTAAGCTGACTGTCAAGCAGGACTTCCCAAGCAATCAATGTAGAATCCGCCAGATGACTACGAGGAAGGCCTCGTAGTTTAGTTGGCCAGATTCTTGGCCGTGGGTTCGAATCCAACCGAGGCCGCCGAGTGTTTCACAACTGGGTCCCTCTGACGTTGCAGTCGCCAGAGGCGATCAGTCGACACGACTGAGGCTGGACTTGGTCATTTAGCTAGCATGTCTGCGATCACGCATTGGAGCCCCCACAAAATGGGCAAAGTGTCTTGACGCTGTGCAAATATGCAGGTCCCGACGTCTGTGTGGCAGGAAAAAGGAATAGGATCGTGCGGTTTGCGTCAATTCAACTCTTTAAAGAAACCTCCATTGGCATTTGGCCACCAAAATGAAAAAACAAAGAAACATGGGGATACTGCGAGGGAATACTTTCAATTGTCTGTTAAGCCTTTGGTTTATTTTTGAAATTACTCCCTGTAATTAGGCCAATCCCCTTTGGTGTACATAGTTTCTTCTGACAACACGCTTGGGCGCAAGGTAAAGTCGACCTCTTCTTCCTATGCTTTCTCGGTATGCCGATTCGTGAATTCCCCTTGGTTCTTTAAAGAGTTGCTTTGGACTTATAATATCGCCTAGTTGTCACAGACTTCTTGTTTCCTTAGTCTTTCAAATGGTAGCAGCTGTGCTCAACTCGGGAGCCCACTTGTGGTTCATGCTTATGTCCGAATAGTTCTATTCGGCCTCCTACGCCTTTATTCAAAATAATTAATCCGGCATATAGGACCTACATGAGCAAACATTGGAGTGCATAAAAAGTGATTGGTAAGGTAATATAACTAAACTTAGAAAATCCATATACAGTAGTCGCCGGCTATTAAGCCCACCTCGGGCCCAGACCAAATT